ACGTCTTGCGTGGGTTGTATCCGTGGGGCCTCCCCGCGCGCACCGGCCGGGGCCCAGCGGGGAGAAAAGCAGCCGCACGCGAGGGCGGGGCGGCGCTGAAGGAGGGGCATGTGCGGCAGCGCGCGCGCACGCAGCCGAGAAGATGGCCGAAAACCTCCCGTCCTGATTTTTGGTTCCCGGCGCGGGCATGTCTGGGAGGGCATGCAAGGCTCCCTCGGGGATGGACAGACCTCCCTTTAGTAAAACGTGGTTTAAGGAAAAGGACCTCGGGCCCAAACCTGGCGGGCGCAAGCATGGAAAATAACGGCCGCGGCGACCTCTCGAGGACCGAAAAAGGACAATTCACTAATCGACGTGTCAGGGTAGGAGGTCTGTCCACCCCCGGCTCCCGTGGCTTGGTGCCGAGCGGTCCGCCACGGCCAGGCGCTCGCCCCCCGCGTCGCAGCCCAGGGGCGCCGCGGCCAGCCACGGCCGGGGCGGCGGCAGGGAGAGGCGCCGGGCGGCCGCCGCCGCGGTGTGGTGTCCGAGGCGACCAGGCTGCCAGGTGGGCGAGCGCAGCTCGTGGGCGGTCGCGACCTCAACCGTAACCTTTACCTCAACCGCAACCTTAACCTCCTCCTCCTCCTCCTCCTCCTCCTCCTCCTCCACCTCCTCCTCCTCCTCCCCTCCTCTTTCCCCCTCCTCCTCCTCTCCTCCTCCTCCTCCTCCTCCTCCGCCTCCTCCTCCTCTCCTCCCTCCTCCTCCACCTCCTCTCTCCTCCTCCTCCCCTCCTCCTCCTCATCCTCCCTCCACTCCTCCACTCCTCCTCCACCTCCTCCTCCTCTCCTCCCCCTCCTCCCCTTCCTCCTCCTCCCCCACCCATCCCACGAGCAGGAAGCCCGCAGAAGCCCGCGAAGTAGATGCTCGACCCGTGGATCCCGAGGGCGTGAGGAACGAAAAACTGCACAGGCCTCGACGTTCGGCTCTCCGCGCGGAGATCTCGGAGCGGCGCTGGGCCCCCCTTCGCCGGCGCGCGGAGCGCGCAGGAGGGCGGCGCCAGAGGCGCCGCCACGGAGGTCCAGCGCAGACCCGAGCAGCCCGCGGGCAACGTCGAACGATTCTGTGCTTTGTGCCACGCTTTTCCTCCCTCGAGAGAGGCTGCCTGGCCGCGGAGCCGTCCCTGCAGAACTGCGCGGCGAACCTGGTCGGGTCGACGATGCCGTCGCCGCCGTAGGCCGCCAGCTCCTGCATGTCCTGCCTCGTCCACGTGCTGAGCTCCCGGTGCAGGGCATCGGCCGCGTCCGAGGCGGCCCTGACAAGCTCCTCCAGCCGAACCTCGGCGGGCTCTCGGCGTGCACACTCGGCCTCCTCGGGGCCCGGGTCGACCCAATAGTCGAGGAAGAGCATGGCAGAAGCATAAGCTTTCGAAGATCTGCGCAGAATTTGTGATTGACGCTGGAGCCCCCCGGCGGCGACTCTGGCGCACCGCCCCTGGCGGGCTCCGCGCGCCAGGGAGGGGAAGCCCAGCGCGGATCTGAGAAATCCGCGCGGAACTCCGACAATTTGTGCTTATGCCGTTTTCTCTTACTCAAAATAACGCTGCCCACCCCTGCGGGACGGTAAGAGCCAGAACCCATCCACCTGTGGAGCATCCTGAGGACGTGTGTCAGCGCCAACGTGTGTTTGTCAGCCGAGGCCCTCGAATGCAGCGCAGGCGCTGCAGCGAGGGCCGCTGCACGCTGCGTCTCATCGGCGGAGCTGAGCGAGGGAAAACACACGTTGGCCTAACTTACGCACGTCTTGAGGATCTGCGAACCTTTGCAGAGTCGTCCGTGAACAGCCCAGCCCCACGGCACATCTCGTACAGCCTGATGGGTCCATTTTCCACCACCACTGCCATGTGTAGGAGGGGGAAGCGGAGGGGGAGGGGGAGGAGGATGGGGAGGAGGAGGAGGAGGAGGCGGAGGAGGAGAAGGAGGAGGAGGAGGAGGAGGAAAAGGAGGAGGAGGAGGAGGAGGAGGAGGACCTCCTCATCCTACATACCCAGACCCCCGACGTCGTGATTTTCTCACAACGTCGACCCCTGGAGGTCTGGACCCCTTCCCCGGAACCGGTTTTTCGTCCCGACTCAATTTTTTGGGCGGCCCCGAGGCCCGGCGAGGGCCCCTGGAGGCCGACAACAATGGAACAACCTGCCGGATCGTGATTTCTCTTCGACGCCGCGATCATGTCTGGGATATGGCAGCGGCGGTGGAAACTCAGCCTTGGATGCTCGTTCTGGGAACCTTCCTGGAACCACTCGCTCCACTCGTGCGTCGAAGCTGCGTCGAACGTCAGTCGAGTTGGGTCGACCCTGAGTCGAACCTGAGTCGAACCTGAGTCGAACTTGAGTCGAACTGGGGTCGAACAGATCCGTTAGCTGGGCTCCAGGAAGGTCCCCGAAACGAGCATCGAGTCAGCCCCTCTCGTGCGGCCTGTCCCGGGCGCGCCGCGCCGTCTCCAGGTCCGCGCTCGCCAGCGGCGCGGCCTGCAGCACCGCGTCCAGGCAGACGGCCAGCGGGGCCGCCGTGCGCCGGGCGGCCTCCCCGCCCTCGGACCTCGGGGCGGGCCCTCGGAGGCGGCAGGGCCCGCTGCAGACAGCGGAAAATCCACCCCGATAATAGCCACCCCTCGCCATCGCTCGGACGTCCATTCCCTGTGCTTTTTTCGGTTTCGTGCGTGGATCTTTCGCCAGATGATCAAGGATGCTCCTCGATGGTCCTCGCCGAAGAAATGCACACGTCCGAGCGATGCCAGGATTACTGAAAAAATGGGAGAGAACGATTAACAAAAATAGTTTCCTGCGATTCTGCACAAATTTCTGACTGGAGGAGAACGATAAAAAGAATCCGTTTCCAGCCCGCTTCAGACAGCAGAAAATCCACCCCGAGAATAGCCACCCCGACACGCGAAGCCGTTTAGTAAACGCACCCAACCCAGACCCCCTCGCGTCGTGTAAGAATCACGACGGGAGGTTTTTCGCTTTTCTCGCCCTCTGGAGGTCCTTACCGGGCCTCGGGACCGTCAAGAAACGACTCGGGATGAAAAACCAGTCCAGGGGAATGGGTCGAGAGCTCCTGGGATCGACGTAATGAAAAAATCATGCCGTCGGGGGTCTTGGAAAGAAGGAATCAAACAGGGCAGGGCTGTTTAGTAAGCGCCCAAGGCCGTTTCGTAAACGCCAATTGTCGGGTCCGGGTGGTTTTTCCTCCGTTGATTATTTCACATCTTCAAGATGGAAGCGGTACCCAGACACGATCGCGGCTGAGAAAAATCAGGGCGGGAGGTTTTGGGCCCTTTTCGGCCTCGGGGGGCCCTCGCCGGGCCTCGGCGCCGTCAGAAAACGGCTCGGGCTGAAAAACCGGTCCCGGGGAACGGGTCGGGATTTCCAGGGACCCCGTCCTGAACAAAAACATGACGTCGCATGTCTGGGTAAGAGAACGGCGACTGGAAACGACAAAAAAACGGCTCCAGGATTGGAACCGGAGCCAGAACCGGCAACAAAAACAGCGACGCAACCGGCAAGCCAAAAAGACGGCGACGGATCTGGCAGCAAAAACACACGGCCAAATGGAAGCGGTAAACAAGCACGGCCCTGTCGTCTCCAGGGGCCACTGAGCCTCGGACCCTTCGGAGGAGCTCGAGTCTGAGTCCGAGTGGTCCTTCACCAGGCTGCCGCCCAGAGCAGGGTGCAAGGCCCCACGCCCTCTCTCCTGGTCGGAGCGCGCGGCGTGGCGAGACGCGTCGGGCTGAAAGGTGGCTGGGCCAGGATCCTCGTGGAGCGGATTCAGAAAGAAAGAGGCGCGCCACGACGTGGGCCACCTGTTCCTCCACAGCACACCCGACGCGCTCAGCACGATCTCCCACGCGGCGGACGTGAACGCTGGCACGGAAAAGAAAATCGGCACCCTTGTCACGCCGGGGAACCGACTATATGGATTAGTTATTACCAGGTACGCCAAGAACGGGGGAGCCAGCATCGCGAAAAACATCATCGCCTGAAACTTTGTTGTGGTCAGCTCAAATACAAGGATCCACCACGCTGAAAACACGAAGGTGCAGAAAACCATGCTCCCGCTCGGCAAAAGCATGAACTCCCCGATGTCGCTGCGGAAGTAATAGAGGCCGTAATAGGCGAGGCCCATCAAGAGGTTCACCGTCCCCTGCACCATCGAGATCCTGCCGTACAGGTCGAAGGTGGACCAGTTTGCACGCAGCAGCTGGAACAGCTTCGTGTGGGGCTCCTGCTTTGCATGAAGGAAACGGGTCCTAAGGGAAACAGGCTCTGGACCCCCGGGGCCTCATCCACAAACTGTTTTCTGACAGTCAGTCCCAGGGCCCGTGGAAGGCCCCGAGAGGCCGAACTCGGCGAAAAACCTCCGAACCCTTTTCCCGCACCCGGTAACATAGCTTGATGGCGACCCTGCGAGCAGCGGCGAGCTGGATCCAGCAAGCGGTCGGCTGTCGGCGGGGCGCGTCGAAACGAAGTGGGCTAAATGCACAGCCAGCGTGGGCACAGTGGCATCGGCTAGACGTAAGAGTCACCCTGGGTAAGAGTGACCCTTGGTGCGCGGCTTTTGGAGCACCGCGGGGGGACCAGACACTAGCGCGCAAGCCGCTACTGTCGCATCGCGCTTGGCGACTGGGAGAACCAATCTGGCCCGCACCAAAGGTCACTCCGGCGAAAGGTCACTCTTACGTCTATCGGCTAGGCGTAAGAGTGACCCTGGGTAAGAGTGACCTTTGGTGCGCAGCTTTTGGGGGCGCGAGGGAGCCAAACCCAAGGGCGCGGGCCGCTTATATCGCATCGTGCTCGGCGATCGGGGGGAGCCCGACGAGCCCGCACCAAAGGTCACTCCGGCGAAGGGTCACTCTTACGCCTAGTCGAGTCTAGTCGAGTGGCAGCGCATCCTGCGCGCGCACCACCACCTGGCAGCCGGCGCCGGCACCTGCCCCTCGGCCGCTCAGGAGGTCGGCCACGCTCAGGCCACCGCTCGGCCCCCGCGCGGGCGCCGAGGGACAAGACTCGGCATACAGTCAACGCGCCTAGTAAGGACGCGCGCCTTCATCTAGGATGCCCCTGCGTCCTTGCCTCTGTGGCCCGTCCTTTGCCGTTTTCACTGGTCGCCGCCGCCCAACAAAAATCCCAACTTCGGCCTCCAAGGGTCTTGCGTCCGTGCCACGCGTCCTTACTATACGTTTTCACTGTACACGCCCACTCTCGGAGCTCCGCGCGGACTCCTCGCATCGGCGCTGGAGCCCCCTGGCGGCGCCGCCCCCGGTTGGGGGGCAAACAAACGACCTACCTCGCTTTTGACCACCCTCGCTTCCGAGAGATACCAAGCGATGCCAAACTACGGCCTGTACTGGTCAGGCCGCTTGACGAGGAGGCGCGTGGTATGACTTGGCTTTGCCTGGAAGCGAAAGCGGGGTAGGTAATTCACGCTCTGACCGGCGCCGCCACCGGCGCGCTCCGCGCGCCGGGTAGGGGATGCCCGGCGCGGCTCCGAGAGACCTGCGGCGCACCTCCGAAAGCGTGTGCTTGTATGCATCTGTGTTCTCCCTCGGCGGACGGCCCCCTGCCTACGCGGAGCACCCACTCGGGCTGGTCGGGCGGCGAGGGCGCCCGCGACTCGCTGCCGTCGGCCCCCGCCGCCGGCGCCCCCTCGCCCGCTGCTGGCGCCGCGGCCCTCGCTCCCACCTCTAGAGGAGCAGCAGAATCGCAGAAGCATGCAGGTCTGAAGCTCCGCGCGGATTTCTTAGACTGGCGCTGGGCAGCACTCCACCACGCGCGGATCCCCTGACGGGGACTCCACCGACGGGCATCTCGACCAGAGGCCCAGCGACCCCAACCCTTTCCAATGCGGGCAACGCTGCAGTGCTCGAAAGGGGCCCTGAAGTGGCAACGGCTGGCGGGTTTTCAAAGTGCCCGCTAGTTGAGTGCCCATCACGATGCCGAAGACGGGCGCGCCAGGGGCGGCGCCGGATCTGGTCAAAAGCTGTTCGATAGAGCAGAAGCGGCTGCAAAGTGACACTAGATGCTTCGATTATGGCTCTAGTAGCAAGCCGAACCCAGGCACCAGACAGGAGAAGAGAGCAAAGTTTGTAGTCGCACCAGCAATGTACGAAGAGGTATAACTCTGCACTGAATCTGACTCTCGCCCAGGGCTTGCGGAGCAGATCCAAGAAACCCGCGTGGAACTCCGACAGTTTTTGCCTACTCGGCGGTGGACCAACCTCCCTTTGGTAAACCACCCTTTAGTGAAAACGTCCGAGGACCGAAACCGACGGACCTGGACCCGCAGAAATGACGGCCGCGACGCCCTCTCGCGATCTGAAAACAGCCAATTCGCTGATCTACGTGTCAGGGTAGGAGGTCTATCAACCTCCGACCTACGTGTGCGATTGACTCCTCTTCGGGCCTCGGCCGGGCCGGGCTGCTCCGCGCGGGCCCTCTGGGCCGCCTGGGAGCTGTCGCCCAGCAGGCCGCCCACGAAAGGCACGCGGAAGGCCTCCCGGAGGTTCACCTCGAAGGCCTGGGAGTCCGCCGCGGAGCCGTGCACGTCCTCCTCGCTGGGTATGGGCAGGCGGGCGACCTTCGAGCGGGTGATCGACTACAGAATTGACTTGCACCACACTTGCTTTGCCCGTCGCATCCATGCGACATGCGTAGGAGGTCCGTAGATCCACGGACATTCTGCGCATGGCTCGACGAGACAACCAGTTCGGGGGTAAATCCGTTCTCTCGTCGATTCCTCTACGCGAGACCCGCACGGTGAGGCTCCGGGCTGCGCACGGACAGCCCCCAGAGGTGGCCCCAGCGTTGGCTCCGGGCAAGCGGGGGACTTGCGTAATGGCGTCGCGAAAACCACATGCAAGGGTTCATCCTGTGACGCACGGCGTGTGGCAGCCCCGTGCTGATGTCGTACGACGTGCGCATCCTGCACGAACGATCGCACGAACTGCTGCGTAGACTTTCGGGGCCCCCTCTGCAAAGGATCCATTCGCCCGAATCCGACAGCTGGCCTCAACAAGTCCCCCGAGTTGCCCCGGGCGGTCTCCGCAGCTGGGCGCCGACTCTGGCGGCGACCCTGGGGGCCCGCTGGGTCCAGCTGGGACAGCCCTGGGGGGGCTGTCTGCGCACATCCCGAAGCCTTGCCGAACCTGCAGCAGGAACTTTGTCGTGAAGGACTGCGACAGGACGACCGCTTGCATGCAGTACCAGATGGACAAGAAGAGCCAGAACGCCGCGCAGCAGAAGTGACCCGTGGCCATGATGTCGACCTGTCGCTCAGGAAAGTTCTGGCGCTCAAACTCTGGGCTGGTGCGGTCAAAGTTGAAGACGACAGACATGATGAAGCCCAGCTGCAGCGTGTTCACGATCAGGTAGCTCTCCAGCGTGTTCGTGGTGTAGGCTGCCAGGTCCCGGATGTCTTCCCGGAAGAGGCCGAATCTGCTGAAGTTGATGTTCTGGATCTGGAACGCCTTTGGAAGAAGGAGGAGCTGTAGAACTGCATAAGCATGAACTCTGGGGGCTCCGCGCGAACCTCTTGGATCGACACTGGGGACGCCCGGCGGCGCCTCCAGCGCCGCCCCTGGCGCGCAATGCGCGCGCCATGGAGGGGGGGCGTATAGCGAGGATCCCCTGAAACATCCGCGCGAAACCTCCCCAAGTTCTCACTTGTGCTGCTGTTCCTGTCAGCCCGTAAAAGAAGGACGCGCGGCAAGGATGCAAGGGCCTTGGGAGGCCATGCCGACACTCTGCAAGGGCACCCTTGGGAAGGTTGCCTATCCTTGCGATGCGGGCTGACTGTGCTTCTGCGAGCCTTACTCTGCAGCAGGGGCACTGGGGACGCGCGAATCTCTTGGATCGACACTGGGGACGCCTCACGGCGCCTCCAGCGCCGCCCCCTGCGCGCGCTCCGCGCGCCAGGGATCGGGGGGCCTAGCGCGAGAGGATCCCCCCAAAAAATCCGCGCGAAACTCCACAAGGTTGTTGCTTCTGCCGGTCCCCGGCATGCGACGTCCTGACTCTTTCCATGCGGGGTCCCTGGAAGTCCCGACCCTCTCCCTGGGACCCGTGTTTCATCCTGAGTCGTTGCTTGACGGTCCCGAGGCCTGGCGAGGGCCCCCCGAGGCCGACCATGGCCCCAAACCTCCCGTCCTGATTCGATTTCTTCACGACGCGATCCCTGTCTGGGGCCGCCGCTCCTGCGAGCCTTGCTCTGGAGCAGGGGCACGTCGAACATGTAGTTCTTGCGGTTGTAGGACCACATGCCCTGCAGCCCTGCGCCGCCCAGGGCCACCGCGGCCATGTGCGCCATGTGCCCCCTCGGCCGGCTCCCGCGCGCGCCCCCCGCGCGGGGGGTTGGCGGCGCGCACAGGGGGGTATGGGAAGGGGGGAAGGCTTCTCAGAAGCACCCCTGCTTCTTAGAAGGCGCGGGCCTTGTCTACACATGGAAGGCCGGCGCCTTCTAAGAAGCCGCCTCCTTCTAAGAAGCTCTCTCCCCCCTCCCCCTACCCCCCTCTGCGCGCCGCCAAGGGGGGGGGGGGGGCTACCTGCGCGGAGGGGCCCGCCTCGCGGCGGGAGGCGCCGCGCCCTCGGCTGCCGCGCGCTGATGCTGAGACCGCCGGCGCAGGCTCGCGAAAGCGCGCGGCGGCGGCGCGGCAGCGGGGGCCGGGCGGAGCTTCGGCGGCGCGCCGAGGGAGTGCGACACGCTCGACCATGGACCCCCTATCTCGGCGGTTCAAAAAAAAGGGTCCTGAGAGATGGGGTCCTGGGGACGAGGTGCCTCAGACAGTGTCAACTCACGCTCGGATCCCTTCCTATCCTGAGGCCCCCATCCCCCAGGACCCCATCGTTGAACCTCCGCCTATTGTTACCCACTGCTCCTGGGCCGTCTTCGGCGGTCTTCGGGCGGTCTCCGGCGGCCTTCGGCGGTCTTGGGCGGTTTCCAGCGGTCTTCGGCGCGAGCGCTGGATGGCTGCAGTCAACAAGGGGTCCATAATCGAACACCAAAGGAGTGAAGGGGAGGGAGCCCGCAGCAGAAGGCGGCGAGGCCTTCTGAAAGGCCCCTTGTGGCTTCGCTGGCCGTCGACCCGCCCGCGACCCAACCGTGACCCTCGACGCCCCCGCGCCCCCCCCGCGAGGAAAAGACGGGCGCAAACGGCGGGCCTGTTATGCTATATAGATAATAGAACTCGGCGCCTGCAGCGGGCTCGCCTTCAGCATGTGGTAGAGTGCCCCATGGCTCATGCGGGCCTAAAACATAAGAAGGTGGCAAAGCCTTTTTTTACAGGGCCCGGGCCACCAGTTTCACAAGGATTCCCAGGGATTCCCAGGGATTGTTTGGGATTCCCGAGGATCGCCGGGGATTCCCCGAGGCAGTTAGCGCAGCTGGCCCAGGAGGGGCCTCGAGACCGTCAAAAAACGACGCTGGATGGAAAACCAGCCCCGGGGAAAGGGTCCAGCCCCCTGGGGGACGACGCTGCGAAACAAATCACGACGTCGGGGTCTGGGGGTTCAGTCGGGCATGTCCCTCTACACAGGGGGAAGATTCAAAAATAGCCAATACATAATCCGGAGACCATTTTTTACATATTTCTGACAATGTTTGAATATCTTTGTTTCATTCAAAATCCGCCTGTAGGGGGACATACCCGACCTAAATTTGAGCAGGGACCGACCGTCCTGGCATTACTATATGTCTACCACGGAATGTTCTTAGAACCCAAGAATGTTCTAAGAACAAAAACGATGTCCTTAGAACATGAGCCCGATGTGTTGAAACAAGACAGACTCAGCCAGACATGTTCTGAGAACATTTCGCGCAGACCACAAACGGTTCTTATAACAGTCTTTGGTGGACGTACAAGCGAGCCAGGACGCTTCGCCACTGCTTGAGAAGTCTGGGGCCGGCGGCGCGAACAACCGACGGCCGACGGTCGACGGCCGCGGGCCGCCGACCGACGCCGCGCCGCGGCCCCGAGGCCTCGCGAGGCCTCGCGAGGGGCGGGGCGGCGCCTCTGGCGAAGCCCCGCCCGCGTCCGGGGGGGGCGGCGGCTCTGGCGGCGGCTCCGGCGGCGGCACGGGCGCGGGCCCGGCGAGCCTTGGCCGCGGGGCCGCGGGGGCCGTGCGTCTGGGGGCGTCCCAAAGCGGTGCGGCGACGGAGCCAGACAGGAGAACGCGTCGTCCTGGAAGCAGGAGGGGAGGTGTGGGGCCATTGCCGGCGTGGGGGGGGCCCTCGCCGGGCCTCGAAACCGTCGAAAAGCGGCGCAGGACGAAAAACCGGCCCCGGGGAAAGAGTCGTGACTTCCAGGGACCCCGCACTGCAAAAGTCAAGACGTCGCCTGTCCGGGAACCGTGCGGTGGCTTCGGCATCCCCCCAAGAAGGGCTCCGAGATCCGGGCGATGCCATCCTTTCACCACGGGCGCTTCCGCCCACTCTCGGGCCCCAGGACCACCGCAACTCGACCCGGCTCGACAAGGACGGGGTCTGGGGCTCTGGCCGTGATTCCCAGGCCCCCGACGTCGTTATTTTTGTTGCAACGTCGACCTCGAGAGGTCTGGACACCTTCCCCGGGACCGGTATTTCATCGTGAGTCGTTTTTTGGTGGCCCCGAGGCCCGGCAAAGGCCCCCAGAGGCCGACGACAACGAAAAACCTCCCGTCGCGATTTCTTCACCACGCGAGGGGGTCTGGGTTGCTCGCGAGGCTGCATTTTTTTTCCGCGCCGCCGGGCCTTTAAGTGCCGCCCACCGCACGGTCCGTCACCGCACCGGCTGCAGGGCTCTTCGGGGCCCCAGCGGCCCCGGACATCCCTGGAAAGCGGCCACAAAGCACCGGATTCACCGCATGGTGTGGCCACCGCACCGTCTGGGGGTCCCCTCCTCCTCCTCCTCCTCTTCCTCCTCCTCCTCCTCCTCCTCCTCCTCCTCCTCCTCCAGATTCACCGCATGCTGTGGCCACCGCACCGTCTGGGGGAATTCCCCCGACTCTCGGAGGCTCGGGCCCGGTCCGCGGGTGTTGCGGCGCGGAGGATGGACCCAGGCGCCAAATTTTTTTTTTGGTCGCGGGCAGACGCGTGAAGCTGTCGCCGAGAGGGGGGTCCGGGGCGCGGGCCAGCCTAATTAGCTACTGAGCGACGCGCAAGACGGCCGGGCCAGCGCTCAGAAGCGGCGGACCCAAGCGCCAAACGTGCGACGTCCTGGATTTTTCACGACGGGGTCCCTGGAAGTCCCTACCCTTTTCCCAGGGCCGGATTTTCGTCCTGAGTCGCTTTTTGCCGGTCCCGAAGCCGGGCGAAGGCCCACCGAGGCCGAAAATGGCAAAAAACCTCTCGTCGTGGGAAAGGTCTGGGCCCATTCCCAGGGACCGGTCTCGTACTACGACGTGGGAGCCAATGTATCCACACGGTGTGTGCAAGTACTGGTAGACGCTACCACGAGTGTGGGAGTCGCGGCCACACTACCCGATGCTCCGTGGGCATGGGGCAGCAGCGTCGGGCTCCCATTAAGTATATAGTTCTGGCTCGTCGGCGCCTCCGATTGGATGGCTGCTTCGCGCCTTTGTGGCCGTGCGCTGCAACGGTGCCGCGCGCGCAGTTGGCGGGCGGACAAGCGAAGCGCGCGGGAAGAGACCCTAAACAGCTGGCCATCACGAGAAGTGGCCCCTCCCAAGTTGGCCCCGCGCGGTTACCCTTCCAGCTCAAGCGTTTAGGGCGTGGGATCTGGAGCGGTGCGACAGAGGGACTGGGGTGGGGGGGGGATTGTACCCTCACACCTTAGGCTAATAAGAAATCGGGGGGCTTCCGCGTCAGCAGCCTGACTCTGCTCTTCGTTAGTGTCGTTATCTTCGGTGGGGCCTGGCCGATGGTCGGGCGAGGGCACGAGAGCTGGCGCTGGGACTGTGGATGGAGGAGGGCCTCACCCTGTTGAAGAACGATGCCGTCCCGCGGAATGCTCTAGCCATGCCGATATCTCCTCTTCCAGCCACCCCGCTGGGGCGGAGCCCACATGGTGCTGCGTCTTCCCTCCGGCCCGTAGGCCATCGAGGGAGCTTTTGCGGGCCTCCCAGTCTCCGATCCCCCGCGCCAGTTCGGCGATGGGGGGGGGGGTCGTGGGTCTTCTCGATTCTGCTGACATGTACTTCGCCGTTGATCTGGCCCATGCCTGTGGTGGGATCCTGCTCGACGGCCTTGGGCTGGCAGCTCTCCAGGTAGTCGTCCTCCAGCTGCCGACATCGACCGCCGATCTCGCCCCTCGGGCATCGCCGAGGCCGGCGCGGGTGCCGGCGGCCCTTGGCGCTGGAGCGCTGCCATGGCTTCTTTCTGCCCGAGGCCGTGGACCCTCTCGCGGAAGCCCTCCGGCTCGTCTGAGAGGCGCGCGAAGACGGGATGGTGGATCGGCATCGTGCGTGCGTCCGCCACGGAGCACATGATCATTCTGATGCTCTGTGCGTTCTGCAGGGTCAATGCTGTGAGCGTCGTGGATAGAGAGAGTGCGCGATCTTGATATTGCTGGTCCACGTCTTGTCTGTGTGCTGTCCTCGATGGGCTCGCCTGCCGCCTCGGCGGCGAGCCCTGCGAGGTTCGCCCCCCTCTGCTGCGCCCACCTCCATGCCGCCCTTGTTCTCCTCTGTTTGGGGAGCACCATTTGCTGACGCTGCTGCTCGTCCTCGTCGTAGTTGGGACTGTGACCTCGGCTTTCTCAGCGGTGGCTCCACTGCGGCTGCTTTGGATCCTTTGCCAGAGCCTCCCACGATGCTCTCGGCTTGTGTTCCCTCGGGGGGGGAGCCTCCTGTCCCTTCTCCGCCGTCTTGTTGGCTGATTTTGCTGATCTTGATCGGCTGGGCGGAGCGGTTGTCGGAGCGCTGGCGTAGAAGTCAATGACACTGAGCCGGTGCCCCGCGCGCGCTCGTAGATGCTTATGCCCGGCTTAGGTCGCGCAATAGGTCGCGCCGCCGGGCGGCGTCTGGCGCGCGCATGCGTAGTCGCTGCGGCCAGCAAGCGCACAGCAGCTCCCAGAAGTCGACCCGCAGCTCGCCACACTTCGATGCGCAAATTTGCGGTATCCGTCGGGTTCCAAAGCGGTTGTGGAAAATGACGCGGAGGGCTTGGCAAGTCTTAGCAGGGCACAGCAGGGCTGATTTAGCAGGTCTGAGCAGGGCTTAGCAGGGCTTAGCAAGGCTTAGCAGGGCTTAGCAGGGCTTGACCTCGGACCGCGCTCCAGCCCACGCCTAGCAGGGCTTAGCAGGGCTTAGCAGGGCTCAGCAGGGCTTAGGAGGGCCTAGCAGGGCCTAGCAGAGCTTAGCAAGGCCTAGCACGGCCAAGCAGGGCTGAGCAGGGCTTAGCAGGGCCCTGCACTGGGCGTAGCAGGGTTTAGCAGGGCTTAGCAAGGGCTAACAAGGCTTAGCAGGACCTAGCAGGGCTTAGCAGAGCTTAGCAGGGCTGAGCAGGGCTTCGTAGGGCTTAGCCTCGGACCGCGCTCGGACCAGGGTTTAGCAGGGCTTCGCGCTGAGCAGGGCCTGCCTAGCAGGGCTTAACTAGCAGGGCTTAGCAGGGCCCTGCACTGGGCGTAGCAGGGCTTGGCAGGGCTTCGCAAGGCCTAGCAGGGCTTAGCAGGGCTTAGCAAGGCCCCTTGGCCCGCAGGGCTTAGCAGGGCTTAGCAGGGCCTACCAGGGATAGAGGTCCACAGAAATCTGGGCTAGATCCTTGACATTCGTTGCGGCACCCTCTCTTGGCCTTATTGGGGCGGCCACCGATGGATTCTGCTTTCTGTTTGCGGCGGGTGCTGAGTTTATCGTTCTGCGAAAACTGCCCGCCTGGAATATTGAAAAAAAACGGGGTGCATACCCGGGGCGGCCGGCGCGTCGCCGAGGTGGGCATCTGGAGAAGCCCGCCCTCGGGCCGCGGACCGTCGTCCGAGGGAGGACGGCTCGGGGGGAGCGGCCCGCGCCACAGGGGGAGAAGTGGTCGAGATCGGGAGCGGCCAAGAGGGGGGTGTCCAAGAGGGGGGGCGCAAACCATGACCGGCGGCATGTGCGCGGCCCAGCGGGAGGGCCAGGGACGTAATGAAATAAGAAGAGGCGCCATGCCATCTGGGGAGATAGCATGGCCCACGCCATGATATCCCCCCCCCCCTAGTCATCACCCCCCTCTTTTCCGCCCCCGGCGAGAGCTCCCGGGGCCCACGCGCCGGAAAGACCTCGGAGCGGCGGCTGGAGGACGAGGGAGGGGGCGGAGGCAGGGCACGGGGGGCGGAAGGGGCCCATACGGGATCGCGCGGTGGACAAAAACCAGGGCGGGAGATCGTGGGCCACGTCCGGCCCGCGGGGGGCCCTCGCCCGGCCTCGGGGCCGTCAAGGAGCGACGCAGGACGAAGAGCCAGCACCGGGGAAGGGGTCGGGACTTCCAGGGGGCCCCGCACGGAAAAATCAGGACGTCGCATGCCTGGGGATGGAGGGCGCGGGAAAGGACGGCGGGATGGCAGGGGGGAGGTCCACGGAGGGAGAGGGAAGGGTGAGAGGGCCTCCCTCCCTCCCGTGTGCCCTTTCTTCTATGCTCCCTCGCCTCTCCTCCCCGGAGGGGGAGGTGCCGGTGCACTTATTGTCAGGCGGGGGCCCCCGGCCCATCGGCGGAGGGCAGTGCGTGACTCTCTGGCGCTGACGAGGCGGCGTCGCAGATGGGAGGCGGCGGGGAATCCGAGCTGGACAGGCGCAAAGAAAATCTGCCAAGCGGGGGCGCGAGGGCAAATTCGCGCCAAGGTCGAACATCACAAGATTCTCGAGCCGCGTCCAGCCGCGGCGACGACAGGGGGAATTTTCTCCCTCCTGTTCTGCCGGCGGCACCAACGCCGGGCCACCCCAACCTCACAGCCGGCTCCAACTATGACAGGAAATGATCGCACATCTCCGACCCTGAGGCCGACATCGCCGTCGAATCGAGTAACGACGCGCGGAACTCGTGCCCCCTTTCCACCTCTAGCCAGCCGATGGCAGGAACAAAACGTGGCACGACCGGCCAGGGAGCCTCGTGACAAGTTTCGCGCTAAGCACATGCCCCACGCTGTGTTACACCACGCCTCACGTGCACGACACCGCGAAGCTGGC